GGCGGGGCTGGGTCTCTGGAGTGGAGTCTGGTGGGAGTAATAGAGTACTAATAATACTTAGGAATAGAAACAGTAAGCAATAATAAAATATAATAAATAGTATTAAAAATAATAAAGGGATTTCTGCATTTCATCAGGGTTAAATTCATCACTGATATTTACATTCATTTCATATACAGTAAGAAAGAAAAATTATGCAACTGAAATATAACACAACCCCAAGACACTATTGATGGTGAAGTCCATAGTAGTGTCTAGAAGTTAAAAACACGAAGGGAGAAGGGAGCAGTCTTGGAATTGAGGAAATTTAGTTGTCCTTCAGAGATGAGTCCCCGGTGTGTAAAGTCTACTTGAAGTGAATGCTTTTTCAAAGGTGTTCTATTCCTTTTTGGTATCCTTAGAAAAGGTGTGTCTAAATGCACAAGCCAGAAATCTTATTGGATGAAAATCCCAAAGATGTTCCCACTGAAAATAAAAATCCCAACTTGAATCTCTCACAGCATCTTGCTAATTATTATTATAGTTGCTTGGCACTACTAATCAGAGCAGGAAGTCACACAGTCCCCTTTCTTGCTCTTGGCTGTTACAACATCACAACCATGATATGTATAGAACGTACTGTAAATCTGCGGCTGTCATGGAAACGTGTGTTACACGTTACACTACCTCTTTGCACAACCCTTGGTCCAGATTTGCACTGATAACTGTTGTAAAGGACACAGCATACATCATTCCTGAAGTAACCTGGAAATAGCATATGTAATCCTTATTCTAAAGGAAAACGTTGTGCATGGAGGCTTGTTAGATGTTAAATATATTGGGTGGACTCTGAAACTTAGGATGGTAACCCAAAGCCAGAGAAGAATTATTTCCCAAGCGTGGACCCTGCAGACAATGAGAAAGGTGACCAGCGCGGTCTGTCAATGCCACACGGCGCGTACAGTGTGCTCTCTCCCCACTGAGATGGGTGGTAACGGCGTCAGTGGCCAGACCTGCTCCAGGCTGATAACCCACGATGCGAATTATCTAGCCTGCGCAGTGTTACCCGCAATCCCTAATCGCTGAAAGGTTCTTATTGAGGTGCAAAATCTCTAAATGCTGATCAGAAGCTTAGGGCACAATCATTCAGAAACAATGCTTTGCTTTAGACATTTACCAAAGCCGTAAATTTGGCGTTGTGGCTTTTGATTTTGAGAAGGCCCAGGCTTGGGGAAGCACTGAGATGTCCCGTCCTGGCAGGTCACGTCTTCCATGAGAGTGGTGGGTCGTTCCAGAGCTGGGAATAGTGGGTTATTCAATCATTGACAGCTCACTGAGCATTTCCTATGTTCCAGAATATGTGCTAAATGCCGCAGATCTTGGTGTTAAAGGACAAAGACTTTGACCTCAAAAAGCTAACAATTTTGTAAATAAAGTTGACAAACAATTTCTGTAAAATACAATATGTATTTTTATTTTTCAGTGGAGTGGCACTCAAGGCAGGTATAAGTGGTTAAGTACAGTTCCCAGGATCATGTGGTACTAGAACTCAGTCTTGGGGAACTAACTGGAAACGGCCAGGGGGAGTGGGGAGTGAGGAGTGGGCATCCCAGTAAGGAGGACGGCCGTGTGCAGCCTGGGGGCAGGAGGGACAGTGGGCACAGGAGCAGCCCCGTAGGTGACCCCAACAGAGTCCACGTCTTTTAGAAGCTTCTACAGCATTCCAGGGCAACTGTGCTTTTTCCTGGAGACAAGGGGAAACTATTTTAAACATTTATGCAGACAATGGGAAAATCAGATGTGTATTTTACACATATGACTCTCCTCAATGTAGAGAGTGGTTTGGAAGAGAGAAGCCAGTAGCAGTCAGACCAGATGAGAGATGGTGAGGGTCTGGTTACATAGGAACAGTAGCCATAAAATGCATGTTTCCAGAGAGGCTGGACCACACAGTTCAGGTTATGTTTCTGCAGGACAATTAATTGTCTGTATTGAATGGCTGTACGCATGTAATGATAAACATCCAAATGAAAAACGAAAATCACAGTACGGTTTCCAGATGTTTTATCTATGAAGCCAAGGATCTGGAAATACAAAAACATCTGGGTGACTGACTAGTTACCGCTTTTCTCCCAGCTATTTTGGCATCACACAGGCGTAGACCAAATCACTTGTTCCTACATTAGTAGCAGTGAAAAGCTGCAATAAGAATCACGTTGTTAGCAGTATTAAGAGTCATACAAACAAATCACATTAATCCAGAGCAAATACTTGTTTGAACTGAAATTGTATCTGAGCTACTGAAACACATTCTTACATTTGCATCAAGATCACTTTGCAGCTAAAGTGTTTGAACTGCATTGTTATAAATGGAGCTGCAGTGTTTAAAACAATGGTTTATAATGTATTTCTTAAGAATTTGGAAGCAACCTGGGTGTATAGCAGATGAAGATACAAATTTTATTTGAGTTATGAAATAAAATTTAGAAAAGTGTTGCAGAAAATTGGTGCAGCCACTGTAGAAAACAGCATGGAGGTTTCTCAAAAAACTGGAAATAGAACTGCCGTATGACCCAGCGACCCGCTCCTGGCATGTATATCCAAAACAAGCCAAAAACACTAATTTGAAACGATATGTGCACCCCAATGTTCACAGCAGCACTATTTACAATAGCCAGGATAAGGAAGCAACCTAAGTGTCCATCAACAGATGACTGGATAAAGAAGACGTGGCGTGTATATACTGTGGAATACTACTCAGCCATATAAAAGAATGAAATTTTGCCATTTGCAGCAGCATGGGTGGACTTGGATGGTGTTACACTCAGTGAAATAAGTCAGACAGAGAAAGACAAATCCTGTATGATACAACGTATATGTAGAATCTAAAACATAGAACAAATTAGTAGAATATAATAAAAAAAAAGAAGCAGACTCACAGATACAGAGAACAAACTAGTGGTGACCAGTGAGGCGAGGGGAGGGCGAGGGCTACAAACTGTTAGGTGTAAAATGAGCTACAAAGATATGGTACAACATGGAGAACAGAGCCAATGCTTATAATAGCTATACATGGAGAAAAGCCCTTAAAAATTGTGCCTCACTGTATTGCACACCTGTGACTTATATAATATTGTACAGCAGCTATACTTCAATTAGAAATAAATTTAAAAATTTAGAGGAAATGTTAGCCACTTTTAAACCACTGGTTTGGCTTTACATGTTAATACTTCTCAGCAAATACAGATGACTAAAATTCCAAGGGACATAACCGATGTCACATCCCCTCAGCCTGCCTCGCGTGTGGTGGGGGTCTAGTAAGTGCCAGCTGCCCCCACTCAGGGAGCCCGGAGGGTCGGACGTCCCTGGGTGAGCAGAGTTCTGTTCTTAAGGTCGTCATTGGTCAGTGTTGTTTTAGTAGAGGACCAACACGTTATAGCCTGAGTTGCTATATATGTTAAAAAAAATTGTGTAAAACATTTTTTAAAAGAATTGATCATTTTTTGTCCTTCATACATTCTTGGAAAATATAAAGAGGCATCTGTTATTGTATTATTTGACATGACAGAAATAGATACTAAAATATGACTGAAACGCTGTTTCAGAGACGAAATGAGGACCCAGATCATCCACTGGCCCACTCAGGGCTCTCCCTCAACCTCACGGATGCCGCGTCAAACAGACACGGGAAGTCTTGCTCACAGACTGGGTGAGAAAGAGCCAGGCCCCCGTGCAAGCCGCTTACCTGTGACCAGTGCCATCCCACAACTTTCCATCTTCACTGACATGGAATTTAAGTTCTTTTTCTTCTCAGAAAACAATCTAATTGAGCATGCTGCCGTCCCTTCTCACTTTGGGGTTTGTAGAAGCTAGTCACTGTTCTAAGTCCAGGTGCTGGGAGAATGTCCTGTTGCATCTTCCGTCAGGAAGGGGACCACAAAATCCATCAAACTACTAAAAACTTCTGAGTCATTTGAAAATCCCTCAATATCATTTTAATACACAGTTCACCACCCTGGATAATAGGCACAGAAATAAAGATGGACAAATACAGACAGCCTCCCTTCTCGTGTCTTTTAAAACCTATATGCAGATTTGATCATTGTGTATCAAATATTATTTTGACAGATTCACTAAGTCAGTTTGCTCTCTCAGTGCGTGTAAATCCTAAACTTTGTTTGCTTAGTAAACAATCTTCGTCTACTATTTGGGGGGATTAAATGTAATGTTACCCTAAAGTGAAGTAGCTTCCACTAATACCACTCATCACAATGCATGTAAGTCACAGACCGATTTTCCATTTAAAAATCGTATTTTACAACACTATAGAAAAATTTAAATTTAAAAGTTTCTATGCAAAAGGAGCACTCAAGGAAATGGTTGCACATCACTTTTGTACAATAAATGTTTGAAAAGAACAAGTATTTCTTTTTTTCTCCAGCAAACACAGTGCCCCCCAGGTACTATCATAAGCACTGTAGAATGCATTGTAATTGTTACCATTATCTCCTGGGGGCAATGACAACCATTTCTCCCGCTTTTCAGGTGAAGACACTGCAGTAAGGAAAGGTTAAGGGACTTGCCCAAGGTCACACAGCTGACAGAGGCTAACCCCACCCAGGCTGTTTGGCTTTGAAGTCTGAGCTTTTTACCCACTGCTCAATATGGTGCCTCATTAAACTAAGAATTTAAAAATAATTTAAAGACATTGGCCAATCCCTTTCAGGCTCCCAACAAAAGTACAGTAAACAATAACTTTGTTCTAAAAATGATTTGTTTCCCTGGACTCAAAAACCGCAAGCTGTTGAACGCGATCTTTCTTTGTAAGTAACAGCTGCTCTGCTTTGTGTAACTTCCCACAGGCGTGCCAGAAAGTTAATATCGATTACAATTAAGGAGGAAAATTATTTTGGGCAACATCACATTTGACAAGGGCTTTGGTGAATGAAACGTTGCCAAAGAGCGAAAATGTTAACACTTGGCTAAAGCTTTTCTTTTTTCTGTGTTGACTTTTGAAAAAGGTGTAAACTGTGAGTTGGAAATTGACGAATGCTGGTCCCAGCCCTGCCTGCATGGTGCGACGTGTCAGGACGCGGTGGGGGCTTATTTCTGTGACTGTGCCCCCGGATTCCTGGGCGAGCGCTGTGAAATCAACACCGACGAGTGTGCCAGCGAGCCGTGTCTCCACGGAGGGCTGTGCGTGGACGGAGCCGACAGGTAGGTTTTCTCCTGCGTTTGGGTCGCTGGCATGGAGAGGACTTGCTGACCGAGAGCGGTGACACCGCTCTGATGAACCTGGAGCTCTCGCATCCACGGCCTACAGTGTTCAGACTGCTTTATACTTTAAATGACCAAAAGTTGTCACATTCAGATTTTATGAAAAAATGCATTCTTTGGAAGTCATCGGTCTCAAGAAGGAGCATTTTCCCAGTCATTTTCATAACAGTTTAGAACTGCTTCTATGACAGAAAGTGCCAGCTTTCCAACTCCATGAAACAAAGGGGATCTCTCTTCCCTCTCCGTTGTAGATGCAAAACAAAACAAAGCAAAAGCTAAAGATTATTCTCTATGTGAATATAAGCTTGCATTTATATAATAGCAAGCACATAAATCAAGTGATGAAAAATAAATCCTTTAAGAATTTTATATAAACAGTGTTGGAAAGGGCAATGATATCAAATTAATTATATCTTGAATTTCTAAGTGTTTGGGGAATTGGTGAATACTTTTGAGACAGCAGAATGATAAGTAGCCATGTGATTCTGGTCCAAATTAGAGTCTATCATTGGCTTTTCAGCAAAAACAAAACAATAAATTACACCTTAATAGCATGCATATAATAAATTTGGGTAACAGCAGTTGAATTCATATAAAATATTTTTTTAAAGAACTTTCTAATACTTACTTACACTGCAGGTATTGCATTATAAAACACAGGACAGCTTTTAACAGCATCAGCCCTGAACAGATTTTTGGTGGCTCTTTCAGGAGCCAGAAGACAAGGTGGGCATTAAAGCTCCCACATGACAGTGAGTCTAACGTGCTGGGAAGCTAGGTGACCCCCACAAATCCAGACAGTTAATTCTTTGCAAAAGGAGGACTCATATCCGGCTATCCTTAATTAATAAGTGAGATGTAATTTATTACCAAATCTGAATTTTGCAATGAATCAGACTCAAAAGGGTAGCAATAAAAGGCATGTGCACTTCCAATAGATACAGAAAATAATAAGATTTTAAAATAGAGCAACATGGGAGAGCATCTCTTTTGTAAACGATAAAGCATCATGTTTGATCATATTCCATGTCTCGCCAGTTACTTTCAGTGATACCCAAATCATTCTCCAGTGGCACGAACATCGTTCCTGGAGACAGGTAACTGGCCAACACGTAGACAGACAGATTGGCAGTTTCCACACCTTTGCTCCAGATGAAAAGAGGAGACTTTCCCAGCCCTGCCTCACCATTTCCGGAAAGTGTCAGGACAGAAGTGACAGACACGCAGACAGATCAAGGCTGAAACCTGGCTGGCTTCCTCTCTTCACCTGGATGTGCGACATAGTACTTCTTCTCTTGTGTCCGTATCTCTCTTACTGCCTGGATTTTGGGAGATCATCCCAAGGTCAGCAAATACAACCTGACTTAATGTTCCCACAACAAAAAATTAACACATTCGCTGTGAGGTACGTGGGAGAGTCAGAAACTATACCCCATGGAAGGTTCTTGCAGACAAAGGAAGACATAAATGGAGACTCTGGTTCCATGAACTGAGGTCCACTTGCCAGCCTTGAGCACGGGGCTCTTGTCTTGAATGTCTCCCATATGGTAGATTGTTAGTAGGTATTCTTAATTAGATAAATGGAATACTGAATAGAGAGTCTCTAACTAGCAAAATGATGTATAAAAATTATAGCCACTTATTGTATTTGCTAATATTTCAGTTTCCTTAGTGAAGTCTTAATATCCATGTTAGAGGTAAATGGACACACAGCTGCGGTGAACAGGACTGTTCCTCTTTACAAAACCGTAGGTGTCCTCGCCCCCAGACCCTCACTTTATCTAAGCTGGGTGTGTAAGCCTATGTTTTTGTGACACAAAGTCCTTGAGGAGGTGCTGTCTAAATTGAAAGCCAGCTTTTGATAAAGTGACCGACTTTCCCCGTCAGATTCGTATTTTAGGGCTGTCAGATAATCCCGCTCAGTCAATGAGCGCTTATAAACAGAAAGACTAAAGTGTTCCTGTAGTCTAAAAATGAGAGAACGTAAGTCACAATGTATAGAATGAGAACTTTTCCTGTTTTTTTTCATAATTTATTGTTTCATTTTTCGTAAGGGACCTTATTACTGGGCTCTCGCTATAAAAATGTGCTGTGATGGTATAAATCATTCTCTACCACCCTCACAAATATTAACAACTTTATTTTGACCTGCTTAGTAGTTTTAGGCAGTATTTTCTGCTCTTTGGCATGCTGTATCTGTTCTTTATATGCACACGTGATTATCCCAACAACTCCAACAAAGGTATGAGTGTCTTCAATTTATGATGATGAAATTGAAGTAAACAACCATGGTTGCTAGATAATTTTGACTGAAAGCCATGTTATAAATTTTCAAAGATAGTAAGATATTGATACGGAAACGCATAATGCTCTCAGGCTTGTGGTGATAACGCCTCGAGGTTTTTGATAAGTATTAAAACCAGGCCACAGGTCTGGGGTTGATGGACAGGTGAAGAGACGGGAGGCAGATAGTTGATCTCAATATGACCAAGCAATGACGTGAAAATTTCACTTGACTCTCCAGCTACAGCTGTAACTGCACAGGAAGTGGATTCACAGGGACGCATTGTGAGACCCCGGTGCCTCCGTGTTGGTCAAAGCCCTGTCACAATAATGCGACATGTGAGGACGGTGCTGACGGTTACATTTGTCACTGCTGGCCTGGTAAGTGACGAAACAGCTTCCACAATATTTTTTTGTTTGTTTTTTGCTTAGAATAGAAGCTAATCGTTTACGGAAAATAAACTGAAAGTTCTTGTTGATAAACGTTTAAAACCAAGTCTTTCTTCTAGTTCTCGTCATTTAATTGTACCCTTCAGTGCTCACACCAACTCACTGCTGCGCTGTGCAATGCCTAAAGCAGATTACCAAGCTGCCCAGTGATCAGAATTTTCTAGAAGAAACAGAGAGGGGAAAAAAAATTCAATGGAAGGGTCAGTTTCAGCATGGTCTTCATGGAGAAAGATTCACTGGATGATGTTTCCTTTTCCTGCAAGATGATTGCTTTGACAACTAGAAAATATTAACACCCATGAAATAATATTAAAATCCTAGGAGCTGGTATTAGAATTCGTGGAGTCAGTCAACATGATTATGCTGGTCCCTGTAGAGGGGACAGAAAGACATTCCAGAAGTAGGTGTAGTCTCCTAGCCACTCACAACGTGAAGAAAACACAAGCTAAGCATATATAAAGCAGAACTAAAAATGACCCTGCGAAGGTAGTTAGACTTGAGTGTAGAGGTGAGGCCAGAATCGGTAGGAAAGAGTATGTGACATTGAATCCAAGAGCCACCCGTAAATATCGATGTTAATTTTGGCAAACAACCTGCTTGGCATAGTTTAACCAAATTCTTACCAGGATTTTATGGCTGGAAATGAAAGAGCATTTCACTCCTCTCCTTTTTTGAGCCATTGGAAGAAATGATAACCTTATGATTATTCAAAATCTAGCTGTTATAAGCTTGCTGATCGTCTGTCTCCTCCCTCCCCCACCACAGCTGGTTGTCTAAGGAGAGGGTAAGGCAAGGCTGGGGAGGAAAGCTGGAGGCTGAGCTCAGTCCAGTCACTAGTAGCTTCCGACGGAAAGCTGTCTCATTGCCTAAGGAACAGTTAACGTGCTTTGGTTAAATATATTTTGTAAGTAAAAAACAAAACAAAGAAACAAACACGTACACACAAAAGGAAGTTTGGAATCCTCCTGTGGCTCAGAAACCTGTGTGCCACGTGTCTTCCCACGTCCAGGTAGCAAAGTGCACACACCAGTTATCCTTTGCTCGTTGGCTGTGGTCAGTAGGAAGCAGGATGGTAACACTTGAATCAACAGGCCATCCCATAATACTGAATTTTTTTCAAAACCTGTTATTCCACATTCTTGTCATCAACCATCACTCAGCATTCAATCAACACTCTAGAGAGGATCTCTGTCCAGAAGCAGAGGCTGGGTGCACAGTTTGGGAGCAGGACAAGTCCACCATTTGCCAGCTGAGGAACCTCTTAATTCTGAAATTCCTCCTCCACCAGCAAAGGGTAAAGAAACTACTGAGAGGACTGTTGTGAGGAGTAAAATCATAAAAACAGAGCCTGGCAGGTAACAGGTACTTGCACGTAACGGGGAGGGGGGCACCACCCTGTGTTAGTAATACCGAGTTCTGCACCAGGAGGTGGAAACTGGGCATAAGAGACCTCTGTTCTCAGAGGGTCTGGGAGGGAGTCAGGCAGTTGAGAAGAGCTGTCTAAAAAAGACCAGGGTGTGTTCCGTTCATTCAAGCCACACGGATTTCAGCACAGACTATAGATACACCAGGGCCCTGGGGATCAAAAAGCTGTGGTCCCTTCTTCCAAGGAGCTTAAATTCTAGCAGGGATGTAGTGTGAAAAGATGTGTACAGTACAGTTTCAAGCGCAGCAGGAAGCCCTAGTACATTCTGTAGACGGGAGTAAGGCGAGAAGTTCCGGGAGGGCTCGAGCACAGAGGCAGCAGCTCAGAAACTTGGAAGACCTCTAAGCACGTCCCAGAAAGCTGCTCGCCAGCGGGTGGCTGGCCTCGTTACCGCCCTGCGCCTCGGCTTCCTTATGGACTGATAAAGCACAGATGATGGAATGATATCCACCCCCGCCAGAAGTGCTGCTGTGGAGCTGAGTCCAGCAATACAGAAGGCGCTCCCAGCTCAGCCTGCGCCCCAGCAAGCCCTCCGGAAATGCCCATTAGATGTCTCCAGACTAGGAGACTGACCATTCTAGACCCATGGCCAGCACAATGATAGCTCATTGCTTATTTAAGGAGAGAAGAGAGGAAGGGACAGAAGAGGAAGGGGAGAAAGAGAGGGCAGCAGGCGGACGTGTACTTGATTGTTCAAAAGTGCCAGACGACGTACGGCTAATGGTGGAGAGACGGGGCTGGGAGCAAGAGGAGACTGAAGCCAGCTCGCCCGCTGCTTGTCTGCCCTGCAGACTCGGGGACCAGGAAGTAACACAGTCTGACTTGTTAATTTAAAGTGAGCTTCCTGGCCCTGGAGTGCAGGACGATTGAGAGGAGGGGCTCATGGCAGGGGATCCAGTGGGAGAGCCCTGCAGCGGTTCACACAGGGACAAGACGCAGGTGCTGAGGGTGGAGACGAGGGCGTGAATGGCCAGGAGAGCCCCTGGGGGTGGAAATGATCGGGAATGGAGAAAGGGGCGCAGGGTTAGGACAGTGCTACTTGGGAGCTTCTCTCCTGGGTGATGATGGATGAGGATTTTGCCTAGAGAGGCAACACAGAGTGCCTTTGTACCAACCCCCACAGTTACGTATGAAGTTATATATAAAGTTAGAGAAGACTCAATATGGCCAGCTACCCTCCATCTAAGGAAAGGAGACCACTCCTTTGGTCACAGGACCACTGCCACAGAACCCCACGATGGCACGAATTCACTGCTCCAATTGCCTGGGGTCCTCATTTCAGAAGTAATTAATCACAAGAAGTGTCAGTCACCTTAAATGCTTATCTTAAAAGATTTCCTGTTACCCAGGAAAGATTGGATTTTTTTAAAAAACAATATAATTTAAGAACCCTGGGGTCTTGATTCAGCATCATATTGTTTCCTTTGTACAGGGTTCTATAGAAAAACTTGTTCAAACTATTGAATGTAGCCTTGACTGAAGGAATCTATTTATATACACGGTTAAAGGAACAGTAAACAAAATCCCCGCAGGACTCAGTGGTGGGGACGGGACTGGTGAGGCCATAAATCAGAACCTTCCTAACGTTCAGAACAGGAATAAGATGACGCATGAGCTGAAGAGCGGAGAAGAATTTATGAAGGTTCTAAATTACCTCCTAACCTGGCCTGTGTGTGAGTCTTGCAACTTAGAATGAGAAGAGAATGAAAAATAGTCAGAACTTTCTTTAGTCAGCCAACTGTAGCACAACAGGTACCGGTTTATAAAAACATGTTGCAAAAAGCATTATTTAGTGAATATTTGCAGATCTTCAAGTATGAAGTAAAAGCGCTTTAAAAGTAGACATTCAGGCTTAAGAGACTGAGTTGTGGGAGATGGGCAGGGTCACTCCAGAGGGATGTGGGATCTTGATCTGACATGTGCTTTTAGTTTCCTTTTTCAGCTCTAAGGTGGATGGGTAAGAAAGACCCCAGGGGTCAAATGTGACAAAGGTATTGTATAGCTAAGCAACAGAATTTATGTGGTGGTTACAGTTTGACATAGGACTCCACCCAGATTTTTATTAAAATTACAAAATGAGCCGTCACATCATAGTCTCATCATCTGCTTGTTAAGAGTTCGTCAGTTCTCTGGTTTATTTGCTAAACTAGGATTATAATCTGAGTTGTTGGTTAGAACTGTCTGACTCTCATTCAGGTGTTCATTGGAGGCCTGCCACTTGGGCGTTGCCCAGTCCTGGAGTGGAGAATAAAAAAAACACAGTCCCTGCATTTGTGGAGTTTTCAGTCTGTTGAGGAAGACATCTATATAAATAAATAAATTTAAAAATACAACCATAAATACCAAGTTTGCAATAAAAATCATTGTAAAGCAATGAAGGAAAAGAATTGGGTATGCGAGAGAAGACAAAAGGATGCTGTTCAGATCCGTCCATGAGGCAAAGACACGTTGAGAAAGTCACACAAGTCTGACAAGTGGAGTTACCCAAGCATGGTCTGGGAGGGGGTGTTGTAGGAGAGGGACGTTGCAAAGGCCCTGGGGTGGAAAACATCCTAGTAGAGGTGGGAATGGGCAGATAATAAGGGGCCATTTAGGTTAAGGATTCTGAATTCTCTTTTGTGTGAAAAGTGAAGCCATTGAATAGTTTCAAACTTAAGAAATTCCGTGATTTGATTTATAAGTTTTACAATTTAGGATTGTAAATTTTATTTTAAAAACGTATTTCTCAGCAGTTAAGTGACATGACAAAATCCTTGGCTGAGAGTGAAGTCACTTGTATCGAAGTCACACTGTGTTCCTTTAAGGACTTCACGCATCTCCCTCACCGTCTCACAGCACAGCTGATGGTGCCCTGGTCACACTCCCGAGTGCTGCATTAGCGTCTTACTGAATTCACGCTTTCGGACGAGCACTCAGCAGGGCACAGAAATGCTCCAAGTCAATGAGGAAAACAACCTAGTGGACAAATGGAAAGAAGACATGAAACGATAAAATAATTTTTGAAATACTGAATTCAGTAGTAACTGGGGAAAATGTAAACCAGAACAACAATGAGGTATGTTTTCTTTAAACTAACTGTCAAACACATTTATTTGGTGGTAGCAAATATTAGCAGAGGTCTGGGGCCTCCCACACACTCCTCCAGCGCTGGTCAGCATGTGCATTGTACAATTGCCCTAGAGGTGCGCCAGCGT